TAAGTTTCATCAGATCTACGGCTCTGTTTCTTTTTTGCTTCTTTGTCTTTAAAGCTTTCATCAGTTCTAGCTTTCTGTTTACATTCAAGTTCTTTTCTCCGTTCACTTGCTCGATAAGTTTCATCAGATCTACGGCTCTGTTTCTTTTTAGCTTCTTTGTCTTTAAAGCTTTCATCAGTTCTAGCTTTCTGTTTACATTCAAGTTCTTCATTCCGTTCAGTTGCTCGATAAGTTTCATTAGATCTACGGCTCTGTTTCTTTTCAGCTTCACAAACTTTAAAGTTTTCATCAGCTCTAGCTATTCGTTTATTTTCAAGTTCTTTTTTGCGTTCACTTGTTCGATAAATCTTATTAGATCTACGATTTTGTTTCAATTTGGCTTCATAAACTTTGAAGTCTTCAACAGATCTCGCTTTTCCTTTTCTTTTTGCAACCATCTTTTTTCTCTTTTTCGTTGTAATATTCATCTTTTCTTTGCTTTTGTTTGTATTCTCTGTTGTATTTTCTTCTGTGTTCTATTTTTTCATTATAAGCTTTTAAAAAGTTTGTAACATTGCACTGTTTTTCAAGATTAGCTGCTTGTTCTTTCTTTAGACACAGGTCTTTTTGACTCTTAAAGTATTTCTGCAGTAGTTCTAACCTTTTTTCTTTCATCGAATTAGAGGGGTGAGAGGGTGTTAAAGCTTGCTGTATTTCAGAAATAAGTCTCATCTCTAGAGACTGTATCTCAAACTGCTCAATCATGGTCAGATTTAGACTCGCATAAAACTTGGTCATGTAATCAACAAGTTTTCTTATGCAATGAGAAGTGCAGAAAACAGCTCTTCCTCCTTGTGCATCTAGGAGATCATTACCATGAGGATGCGAATCAAAGAAATGAAAGTGTTCTTCAGTTGTTTTCCAAAATGCAGAAGTAATTGAACCTACTGTTATCAAAGCCATAGTTTCATGTTCAAACACTGCAATGACAGCATTATGTAGGGAGAGGAAATTGTTATTGTGTCCATTGCCAATGGTTCCAACTAAAAGATCACGTCTTTCAATGTGACATTTATAGGATAAAGAACAGATCACATATGGAAGATCTTCTAATTGCAGTAAGTAAGATCTGAAATTACTGCTTCTTTGGAGGTCAGATGTAACTGTATGATACAGTTCATCTCCTTTGTGTAAAACTTCATCAAGGACATTGGTAGTGACAGGCCTATGCAGTTTTGCATAAAAAAGCATCATAAGTGAATTGCATGTACATTGACGGTCTCTTGAAATCCTTGGAAATCTGGCATCAGATTGTGAAAAACTAGCAAATACATGGTGCGGCATTTCATTGTTGTTCATTGGATTTGATAACTGTTCAATCCTTTTGTTTATCTGAATCGCCATTTCATCAGTTAGAACATAGTCATTTTGAACCTTCTGTTTTTTTATTTCATTTCTTCCAGTGCTGTATATATTTTTCCTCTTGTGTGGTTTCTGCTGTATGTTTTCTTTGGGATTAAAATGTACTACTTTGCTCCGAAGTATTTACTTTAGTGCAATTGACAATATTTTGGGGTTTGTCATGCTTTTGTATGCCTGTGCATTGCTATTTTCCAGTTGTTTCTTACTTTGAAGACTTTGGATTTGTTCTTAATTTGTTACACATTTGTTTATTTGAGATTTTACACTGTTTGTTATTTCTTTGTGGCATTTGTTCAAATTTTGTTTCACAACTAGACTCATTAATTGTCTTTATTTTCATATTTCGTGTTTTGGTTTTCCTTCCATTTGCTGCCTGAAAATTACATGAGAATCTTAGTTTTGAAGTGGGCATCTTCTTTCTTATTTTCTGTGATTTTTTCTCCAGTGTTTGTTCATGGGATGGCTCACTTTTTGACGGTACTACCTTTCTATTCAATTTGGCAGTGGCAAGCAAGATGTTGTAAAGCGGTTGTTTCTTCTTGTGATGCCTTTTTTCCCTTTATTGTTTTTTCCAGGGTTTTTTTCTGTCATATTTAACTGTAATAAGCATTATGTTGGGCAAGGGTTTTTTCAATTTTGTTTTAGTGCCAACGCACTTATAATTAGAGACTCTTTCTTTTGGTTTAGGTTCAATCTGAGCAGGTTCAAAGTGTGGTTCATTCAGGGTAAGTTCAATCTGAGGTTCATTCTGAGCAAGTTCAATCTGAGGTTCATTCATGGGAAGTATAATTTCGATTTCAACCTGGGGCTCAATCTGCGTGGATTCAATCATGGTTTCATTCTGAGCAAGTTCAATCTGAGGTTCATTCATGGGAAGTGTAATTTCAATTTCGACCTGGGGCTCAATCTGGGGTTCAATCTGCGTAGATTGAATCATGGTTTCATTCTGGGCTAGTTTAGTTTCAGGTTCAATCTGGGGTTCAATCTGAGCCGAGTCAATCCTGGAATCATTCAGGGCAAGTTCAATTTCAGGTTCAATCTGGTCAAGTTTAACCTGAGGTTCAATGTGAGCAGGTTCAAACTGGGCAAGTTCAAACTGGTGATCAATATGAATAAGTTCAATGTGAGGTTCAATGTGTTGTTCAATCTGGGAAAGTTTAATCTGAGTTTTATTGGTGCTCTCACGAGCAAAGTCATTTGGCTGTGTTTTTATCGAGGCCACTTCCTCAGTCAAGTGTTTGTCAATTGGCTGTGTTTTTAATGTGGCCACTTCCTCAGCCTGGTCCGTCTGTCTCTTCTTGAGAGACCTCCACATCTCTCTCTTCACCACAGACTTCTTCAAGTTCTTCCTTCGAGGCATCTACAAAATAAAAATGTAAACACATACTAAAATATTCTACTCATCAAAGTCAAGTAATACATTTAACCTTGCTATTAACATAGCTCTTTAGCTGGTTTATCAAGTACTACAAGGATGCTGGATGGTGTGTAAGCATTATAACATATCTTAGTATTCAATTATTATTGATGTTTGTGACCTTTAATAGAGGAGAATGGTTTTGGCGAGAATTGCAGCTTCACACCAACGTGAAGTTGTTTTGTGTTATGTACATCTTATTGATCTGTTGAAGTGGTGGTGAATAAACATTTGTATTGACACAGATATCCCTTCTCTATGTTGCCTTACTTTTAAATGAATGATTTTTTACCACTACAACATAAGGTCATAAATAAATCATTGGAAATTTACTTATGTCTTCATATCAATAAATTACTATTATGTTTACAACAAGAATGACATGGAGTTATATGTCTCTCCTGTCTCGCTTTGTCAGTATAATAAGTTTTAAGCAAACTCGAATGATCACTAAAATTCAGTATTTTTTCTGGGAAGAACTGAAAAACCCTCCATTCTATGGTATGAAAGCACTCTGTTGTTATATAGACATACAATTATCAAATTTTGCAAAATCACTAATTCTCAAAAGTCACCTAGATATGACATTTTCTAACGCAAAAATCACTAATTCTGAATAGTGAGAAAAAGATACATATGAAATATTATAGAATTTATTCCAGTTTTACTATAAAATACATTGGTAGTGAATTGGAGAACCAATGAAGATTCAAGACGGATTTCTGGAAAAATTGGATTTTTAATTAAAAAATACAGCAAAATAGTTAAAATTCACATAATCTGTAGGGTGTGTTAAGATGTCCATACTACAATACAGTTATATTCCAGGGTTGGTATGAATAACATTGATTCATTTTGAGAAAGTGAGCTAAACACAAAATTTTAAAGCAAAGATTCATAGCGTTCTTTAATTTTGAGTCACTGGACCATTAAGTCTGGATGATATTCCTGAAATGTGTGTTGAGATGTCCACTATGTGATCTAACTACAATTTATACCAAGTGTGGTTAAAGTTGGTTATATAGTACACTTTTCCCCTACTTAACCCAACTAGGCCTCTATCCTGTCGGACACAATTGTATGTATTAAGATATCTAGAGATTACTTCAATATTTTTTTATGCATCACTCGGAAAACCCTACAAACAGTAAATTATCTTGGCACCCGTCTATTGAACGATCTGAATTAGTTCTATGAGTTAGACTGATCTGTTCTCTATTTCTCCTTTCTTTCCTGTTTAACTCCTAATAATTTGATAACAAGCGAAACCTTCAAATGAGTTATAAGATCTAAGAAAAAAATTGTCTGAAAAATAGCAATAACAAGCTTCAACTGACAAAATTGAATTGCAATTACACAAACTTTATCAAGTCAATAGCGATTTTTAAGGTGTTGCAATAAAAGAGTGAATTTTACAAGATCTGTTGTCATTTGGACGATTTAGTTTTTTGAAAGTGGGTCAAAGGTCACAGTCACGGTAAGAAGGTCCGCAAGTGTAGTAGCAATGGAAACGTCTTGTCACAAGAAACACATGTGAAATACCCAAGCTGTATCCTCATTTGTATTGACACAACACTGCTTCATAAAAACTTTAACCTTGGGGTATAGCAATAGCTACCCTGGACTTTGAATTTTCAGGTTGTCATTTGACTAAGTAGCCCTTTTAATGTATAATTATAATGGCTACCTCCCCTGGGCCGGGGATATAATCGATCCCATGCCTTGTAATGGAGCATGCCCGTTGTGAATCACACCGGGGAAATTTTCAGAATTAATTGACAGCACATTGGTCCCCATTTTTAAATAGGGTTGTAGTATGAGCTATTTCTTTTGATATACTGCACAACTCGAAGTTCAACTCTGCCTTAAATGCTGTGAAACTAAATCAAGTTACCATGTTGAAAAGTTTGTCTCTCTTGGCCGATATAGGTTAGACGTCCAAATATGGGTGTCATGACCCATTATTGAAATTGTAGTAAACATGGCGGCATAAGTAGTAATACTATATGTGGCCATACAGGCCATATATAGAAAAAAATAACTGAGATAACATTACGTGTGATCTGCCATGGCAGTCGTTTGTGCATTGGTAAGGAGTAGTTTTTTCAACAATTTTGCAATACTTTGATAATAATAATAATATACAGCATTTATATAGCGCCCTATATAATTTGTAAAATTACTCTAAGGCGCTTTACAACATATGGATAATAGTAATGGTTATAATTGTGAAAACAAACAACAAAGGCTTGCAATCACTTTCATACATTTAACAAGCAATGTGCACATAATTGAACAAATAAAAGGGTGGTATTTACATGACGTCTTTGCAAAGATTCT